GAAGACACAGTTAAATAAACAACCCTACCAACCCACCCACCCAAAGAAAATATGTAAAGAAAGTCAATACAAGACCTAAAACAAAGCTGTATAAAGAGATAGAAGCCCTAAAAAATGACCAATTATAAAACAGGGAAATCAAAAACAAGCTATAAAGTCTTCACAGCAAATAGATGACATAGAAGGCAATCTCAGGGGTCAAAGACCAAGTAGGTCTAGTAGGAAAGAGGAAATAATCATTTAGAACAAATCCAAGAAATAAGAAATGATCTTGCCACAACTTCACGACTCAGTTAGAAGATCAAATTTGGGGGAGATTGGTCTCAAGAAAGAAAAAAGCAGGAAACTAAATGAATGGGAAACATATTACAGAATTCTAGCAGAGAACATTCCAAACATCCAAAGAGATAGGCACAGTCAGAGAAGAGAAGCCTTAAGAACAAACACAGAATTCTAGAAGAGAACAACCCACCACCACATTATAATCCATTAGAGGATCATTAATGATCAAGGAAACGATTCTTAAAGCTGCCATAGAGAAAAGATTGATTATTTATAAAGTATATACAGTCAGAATAAACACAAATTTCTTAGTTGATATGATAAAATGAAGAGCCTGGCATGATATATAACAAACATTAAAGGCAAACAACTACCAACAGTGAATATGGTCCCAAGCCAAACTCTCCACCACATCAGCAGGATAGAAGTTAATCAAATATATCTTGCAGAGAGAAGATCAAGAAGAACATGAACTGGTTATATAAGATCAGAAGTAGGTAAATATATTAAGAGTAGATGAGGCACAGCTCCTAAGAGCTCCTAAGAGAATTCACTCAAATAGATAAAATTAGAGAAAAAATGAGACATCATAACATAAATTAGCAAAATTGCGAATGTTATAAGAGAGTACTTTGAAAACCATATACCAATCACCTGGAGAATCCTGGAGTAATTGATGCTTTCCTATACTCGAACTGAACCAAGAAGTGATACATAAGAAGTAATGAAAATGAAATGTCAATAAACAATTTCTCATAACAGAAAAATCTAGGACTCAATAGATTTACCATGAAATTAAGGCCTGCAAAGAACTTACAATACTCAGGTCTAACTCTTCAATGGAATAGAAAGGGAAATGGAATTATCAAACATAATCTATGAAGCTAGAATTAGACTCTTCCTCAAATCAGCTAGGGACTCATCAAAGAAAGAGAACTATGAACCCAGCTCTTTGATAAGCATTGATGCATAACTTCTCAATACAATTCTCACCAACCAACTTCAACAATTAACAAAAAAAACATGCTATGATCAAACAGTATTCATCCTAGGATACAGCTGGATTCAATATACTTGTCAATAAACATAACACACACCATCAGCATAAGCAAGGACAAGAACCACATGATTGTTTATGTGGATGTAGAAATAGCTTTTAACAAACTCCAATACCCCTTTATGATTGAAAGGTCTGAGAAGCTAGGAACTCATGGAACTTTCCTCAATATAATACAGAGTATGTATACGACAAAGAGAAAATAAGCATGTACCTAACTATGGAGGCATGAAGACATTAAAATCAGGAATGAGAAAAGGATGTCCACTCTTTCTACTACTCTTCAATATAGTAGTGGATTTTCTAGCAAGGACAATAGCTAAGAGAAAAATATAAAAGGGATCCAAATATGAAAGGAGTAAAACTATTCCCTTTCACAGATGAAATGATACTTTATATAAAGGACCCTATAGCTTCCCCCCCAAAAAAAGTTAGTAAAAGTGATGCTAATCTTCAGCAATGTAGCAGGGTATAAAACCTACAAGAATCAATAGTTTTCCTGTGTTACCAACAATGGGAAGATCCAGGCTGAAACCCAAAAAACAACCTCATATATATTAGCCTCAAAATCAAATCAAACCTAAGCAAAACAAAACAACAATAAAACTAGGAATTAATTAATTTAACAAAAAAGTGCAGGACCTCTATTGTGAAAACTTTAAAGGCCTAAAAGTGAAATTGAAGGAGATTCAAGGAAATGGAAAGTCTTTCCATGCTTCTGGTTGGAAGAAATAACATTGTGAAAACTGCAATACTGCCCCCAAACAATTGGCAATGCAATACCCATCAACATCCCTACAATATTCTTCAATGTGATAAAGAAAGCAATCCAAATTTATTATTGAATTACAAAATTACAGTTGAAAGGAAGACTTAGAAATGAACTCATAGGCCTATAGTCATCTTACACACACACACACACACACACACACACACACACACACACACACTGGAATTCTATTCACCCATCAGAAAGGATGACTGTTCACCAGTCTTAAGGAAGATCAAAGGCTTGGGAACATTATACTAAGAGAAAGGAATGCACACTCGAGCAATATAGGTTTCATATATTCATTCATTCATGGTAGCTAGAAGGTACCTACAAATCTACAAGAGAGATTCTTCCTCCAGTTTGAATTGCCATTATCAAGAAAACTGACAATAGCAAATGCTAAGGTGGATGTAGCCAAATGGGAACTCTATTACACTGTTGGTGGGAAATTAAATTTGTTCAACCATTCCAAAGTGCAGTACGGACTTTATGTGAAAGACTAAACAGATCTCCCTTATGACCCAGTAATTCCTGTCATGGACAGTAATCCAATAAATAACAAACAAGCTCACATTAAAGCTACCAGTATAACAATGTTCAGGGCCCAGGTCCCGAGTTCAAGGACTGGAAAAAAAGTTACCACTGCTTGTATTTGTTTCCCCAAATATGACCCTTTTGACATAACATACAAAATCTTTCTATTTGCAACAGCTAGAATAGGACTTACCTGTAGTGGGTAACAAAATGTCTTCTTTGTTGAATGTTAGGAATAGCTGTAGGCAGTCCAAGAAAAGGGAGACTTTTGTTGTTGGTGGTGGTGGTCGAGGGGCTTGAAGCCTGCGCTTGGGCACTGTCCCTGAGCTCTTCAACTCAAGGTGAATGCTCTACCTTTTGAACCACATTGCCACTTCTGGTTTTCTGGTGGTTAAATGGAGATGAGTCTCAGGGACTTTCCTGCCCAAGTTGGCTTTGAACAGCAGTCCTCAGATCTTAGCTTCCTGAGTAGCTAAGATTACAGCTGTGAGCCACTGTCACCAGGCTAAAAATGGGGAATTTTTATAAAAGAAAATCCACCTCTTCACCTGTGTCTAAACCTCATATATTACTATTAAAACACTTCATCCTCAACTCATTTGATCTGACATTTGTAAATGTTCTCTTTTCCTTCATGTGGGAATACTGCAGTCAATGTCAACTCAACTGTGGGACTGGATCAATTGTATGGTAATCGCTAGCACCTAAATCAAAAACATATACATCAAAACAAATGAAACCCTCATTTCGAATAATTGTTTTCTCTTTTTATTACAAATCTGTGCTTGATTACTTCTTAATGTGATATTGGACCTCCTAACCGAGTGATGAGTTTTTCTTTCTCTTGAGCAATTGTCCTTCTTCCACTTGGGTCAAATATTTAAATTTCAAAAATTTCAATTGATAATTCATTAAGGTGACCTCTAAGAAAATGTGCATTTCTGGAATTGGTCTTCTGTGTTGTTCTCACGTGCACAGGCTTTCTATGATTTATTTGTTTTATAAGGAATTCTATTTTCCAATCTTTGTGTGACCAATTTTAGTCCCTCTGATCAGTCTTTCCTACCCTCTCTCAGGAGTCTTTTATTTCAGTCTGCCTCATAAAAAATATATTAGTTATCAGCTAAATGACTCCCAGCTTCAGTATTTTGCCTGACTTCATGTAGACTGTGATAGGAGCCTTGACTGGCCTTGCTTACCGGAGATTTTTACTTGTTTGTTTTGTTTTGTTTTTAGAGGTCTAGGATTACTAGTCAATGTATTAGCTTCTCTGGGCCACAGTGATCACCTGGACTAGAGTCAATGGGTTTTTGTCCTAATGATAAAAAAAAACAGCTGACTAAATTCCTGTTTTAATTATCTCAAAATGAGGCAATCTGGCATCCTTGCAAAGCCATCAATAATATTCTGCTACCACTTACAGAAATGGTCTATCAAGATGGCTTTTCAAGGTTGACTGTAAAAAATGTTTATTTCAGGGGCTGGTAAGGTGGCTCAGTGGTAAGAGCGCTTGCTTTGCATGCCTGAGGCCCTGGGTTCGATTCCCAGCACCACCTAAGAAAAAAAAGCCAGAAGTGGAACTGTGGCTGAAGTGGTAGAGCACTAGCCTTGAGCTGAAGAGCTGAGGGACAGCACTCAGGCCCAGAGTTCAGGCCCCACTACTGGACCCCAAAAAAAAAAAGTGTGGGAGGACCATATAAAAAACAAAAAAAAATCACATCATACATTATAAATACTTTAGAAACAACAGCAAGAAAAAAAACCACTTGTGTCCCTATCTTGGGGTTCATTAAGCTTAACATCACCTTATCTATTCACATGCACATAGCTTTTGACCTTTTCTGCTTATTCACGACATATATTAATTATTGACAATAAGGGATACCACGTGACTGATGTTTCTTTGGACTTGGATTATTTTAGTTAATATAATTTTTCCTAGTCTTTCCATTCCGTAACAAATTGGGTGATGTCATTCTTTCCGATGGACGATAGAATTCCCATACACACACACACACACACACACACACACACACACACACACACACACACACAACTCACAAAGTTTTCTTGATCCATTCATCTACTGAGGGGCATCCTGGTTGGTTCCATATCTTAGCTATGGGAAATAATGCTGCAATAAACATAATTGTATTGGTAATTTTTATATGGTCTTGTTGCTGACTATTTAGGTGAATACCCAAAAGTGGGATTGCTTGGTCATTTTTGAGCTCTATGAGGAATCTTTTAAGGAACCTCCATACTGCTTTCCAAGTTGTTGAACAAGTTTACACTCCCACCAAAAAGGAAGTAGGGTTCCCTTCTTGCCACATCCCCTCCAGCATCTGTTATTGTAAAAATGTGGAGCGCTTCACAAATTTGTGTGTCACACTTGTACAGGGACCATGCTAATCTTCTCTGTATTGTTCCAATTTTAGTGTATGTGCTGTTGAATTGAGCACAGAACATTTTTTATATATAAAGTAGAATTGATTTTCTTAAACTAGACAATTCAACAAAAAGTAAGTTCAAAAGATTTGTCGTGAAATTTTAGAACCATGTATTTCTTACATAAGCACACATTTAAGACTAAATTCAAGATTTGTTAAAACAAAATAATTCCAGGTATTTGTTGTTCAACAGATGTGTAGGAGGAGAAATTCAATTATTCTATACAAGGCACCTATCATAATTAACACTGCAGCAAGTGTTAAGTACTTTTTTAAGTTTTAATGTTTTAAATATGTTTAATTTTGGGAATTTGCTTATATGCCAAAATTAAGATTGTTTGGTAGGTCATATAACTTTTCTATAAAGTATTTAAGATTTATGGTAGCAGACATATACAACTAAGTATGTACATTTCAGAGTTTATAGAAACTTTACTAATGAGAAGTTGCAAAGTCTTTGTATGAAGAAACAGTGAAGAGTTAAGACTTTGTTAACTACACAGTTTCTGTAAAAACTTTAGGGCTTCCTTACTTTATATGTTACCGAGGAACAAAAATGATTATATAAACCATATACAGATGATGAGATGAGACATAAATAGTAATCTTAGAGGGTAAATTTAAAGACTACTCATAGCCTATAAAACTCTTGTTGAACACCATAATCTTAGCCAGCTTTAAATGTGCAGGAATATGAGAAAATAGTAAAATCTAATATGTAGTACACTTCAAATACTGGAAACAATGGTATTTGGTTTTTATTTTATTAATCATTAATATTTAATTATTGGTTTTCTTTATTTGCAGCATTGTTTTCCTTGTTGTAATATAATACAACTTTTTATAAGTCATCATTACGAGGTACTTTGAGAATGTTACTGGGATGGCCACACCATTTTTATAGGTGCATGTGAATTTACAAAGAGCAAAATTAAGAACAAAATATTGACTAAAATATTCTCAAGTAGAGTTTGAATCAGGAGTGTTGATAAATGTCCACACATAAATCCTAGCCCTAGGCTGAAACAGTGGTTTTACAGAGTTGAGGCCACAAAATTGAGAGACGGTTTTGTGTTTAGTGTTTTGGTTTTGTTTCTGTTGGTTGTGGGGCTTGAACTCTGGGTCCTGTGTACTACTCCTCAGCTCTTCATCTCAAGGCTATTGCTACCACTTGAGCCACAGCACCACTTCCATCATTTTCTGCTTATGTGGTGCTGAGGAATGTGGTGTTGATGGGTTATCATACATCAAATACCTTCAAATGTACATATAGAGTCTAAAGATAGCAGTATGAATATTCTCATGCAGCTCTTGTTTATCTGTTATGCACTTTCAGTATTATGATATTTCTCTTTCATTCTCTATTTCCTCTCTTTCTCTTTCATGCTCCATGTCTGCTACTTAGAATTTCTGCTGAGCTACTATTGTCCTTCAGGAACCACTGGGATTTTGGGAACATGATAGGGACGATCAGTTACCCTTGCATTCTTTAAGAGTTATAAGAGTGAAGTGATATTATTCTTTGCCATTGTAAATGGCAAAACAACAGATCTAGGAATTCCTTTTCATTTTTAGTACTATTACAAATTTTCCTCATAGGAATCATTGGGATGGATAAAATACTTTTAACCTGCGTCCTAAAAGATCTTTTCCTTTTACAAGCAACCTTTTTCTTTTAATATCAGTAAGTAACAAAAACAAAGCTATCCTATGGAAAGTAGGCTGAAGTTGTTCACAGGGATGAAAAACAAGGAAGTGGGGGAAGTGAGCACAGATCCTCAGAGCAGTTTATCATGTACACTTTGTGAGAATGACAATGTGCTGGGAAGTCTAGATTAAATCACTGAACACCTAATATATATAAATATATGCACATATATATTTATTTATATATGAATATATGTGTGTATATGCCCTTATATATGTACACATGTATATTGCTCTACATACAAATACACACACATATATATATATACACATGTATACATGCACACATGGAGAAAGACGCATAGATACAGCCAACACAAGTTTCACTACTTGTTGAATATGCCCTAGACGGAATGCTTGGAACCAAATATGTTGAAGATATATTTGTCTCTAAGACTTATTTTAGCACTTCTCTTATCTCTTAGAACTGGTAGGTTTTGACAGATTCGACTTGTAAATACAGTACAAGTGATAGCAAATCACCCAGAAATCTCAGTAAGTATAGGTCATATGGTGTATCCTTGCTCCCCATAGAATGTTTGCTCTTGTAGACACTCTCAACAACCAAAAAAGCAGGAGAATACCCTGGTAAAGAATAAAGTTATACGGCATCTTTCCTTGAGCTCTTTTCCAACAGCCAGCATCAATTCCTAAGTAATGTGTGAGTCCACAGAAGACTGGAGCTCAGGTCAACATTTAACCAACCCATGTGATAAGTCTAAAGTGAGAATTGCTGTCTGAGGTCTTCCATTTCCTGGCCACGAAAATAAGAAAAAGTATTTGAAATGTATTAAAATTTGAGAATAATTTGTAACCTGTCAATAAATGTGTAGAATACAATTGTACCAACCGACAAAAGATGCATTTCATTTGTGTGCTTTTGGACTTGGTGAGTGATTTTAGGTGTGTCTACACAAGTAGAATCAACATAAATCAAGCCAGCATTTCTTCATTTAAGATACAAGGAAAAAGTACAGGTTGACCCATTGTAGCAATGAGATGTACAAGACACTCTATCTGGGGGTACTAAGACCACATGATGGGTTTTTCTACATCCCCCATTCTTCCACCAACCTTACTCCCTTCTCCTCTTCACTCTTCTAAGGGTTAACATATTTAATTCATATACTAATCCACCTCATCCCCAAAATTGATTTAAAGGTTTTCTGCTATTGTTATCAATGTTGGTTTAAGGGTTGAAATTCTGTTTGTCAAAATTTGCCTTGCATTTTGTTTGGTATTGCCTACTATTCTGACATTGACCACGTGGTTTTATCATATTGGGAAAAATATCACTTTGTCACTGGAATTCCAAAAAAATAAACTGCCAATTTCCTTTTTTTAAAAACCCAAGTGCATCTTAGAACTTTAGTTTAAATGTGTGTGTGTGAAAACATGTTCAACATAATCTCATTATAAAAACTGTGTAACAAGTTGTCTTCTTCTATGTCTTGATAGTGATATTTCCTATCAAATGTGCTGCTTGTTAAAAGAAAACCTTTTTTTCAAGGATAGTAGTAAAAGGAATGAGACCCAGCTCAGCTCCTAGCCAGCTGTGATGAAAAACAAACCAGTAAGGAGGTAAGAATTGTCTTAAAATGTTTGTTGCACATATCTGTTTCTGTCCCCAGAAAGTTCGAGTATAAGAGATGGTATGAGTATGCCTTAAAAGACAGCTTGTGAGTAAAGTTGGTAAGTAATTTTTGGCTGTTATTTAACATTAAAAGTAGCATGTCATTCTCTATGTCCATCTAAATTCGTTTCTTTAACGTCTGTGTATAATTTTGTAAGTAACTAACCAGGAGTTTTGAAAATTCATCCGAGGGAGGCAATCTTGCCCAGATCCTGCCTGGACCATCCTACCTCCACCATGGTACACTGGATTCCTGCCTGACTCCATCACACACAGCTGATTCTTGGTAAAAGACTGATTTAGATTTACAAACACTAAGACTCTTGTGGACACTCTCTTTAAACCTTACTCATCCTGATATGAAAAAGCCAGCTATGTTGTAATACTATTGAAGCATGTATAGTCCAGGAGAGCCTCTCATACAATTTAGTTATCAGGTTTTCCAGGCATACAAGGTATGCTCAAACTCTCATCCCATCTCTTGAATTTTGTCATTGCAGAGTTCTGGCAAGTATTTGTTGATTAATTCTTGGTAGGGTGCACATAAACTCTACTTGTTCTCACTGATCTCCTTGTTGCATTAATTGGAAATGATAAAGGGTTTTTGTGGCAAAGATTTCAGTTCAAAGCCAGCCCAGGCAGACAAATCCCTGAGACTCTATCACCCAACTAACCATCAAAGAGCCAGGGTGGAAGCTGGCTCAAAAATTAACCAGCCAAATGCTAAATGTAGCCCTGTGACTGAAAGTGGTAGAATGCTAGCCTCAAGCAGAATTGCTCAGGGAAAATGCTCAGGCCTTGAGTTCAAAGCCCATATCCCAGCCACAAGCACCTAGATCCAAGGACAAGGTGGAAAAGAATAAGAGGAAAAGATGTTACATCAGCGACTTTGTGACTGCCCTTTCAAAATTAACCAGACCCAGGAGGCCAATAGAAACAAGTTCAGAAGCTTGTCCATCTAATTTCCGTATCTGTCTAACTTCTAAATGCACAGGAATTTACATTCTTGCCTTTGTTACCTGCTATTTATAGGAAATGATCAAGGTCTCTCACCAGGCCCTTAACTACTCCAATCCAGCCCTAGTTTCTGACTGGTTATAGGCTCATGATCCAAATGGAACTTTTCTGGATTATTCCCTGGTTGTGTTTTCTGATGTCACTCTTATCAACTAGTCCTGCCACCTTGTCAGCCTTTTGCCTGATCTCAGCATTTTCAAGTTTCTGTCTAACAGGATAACAGCCCTCACTCAAACCTGGGACCAAGTCGAGGACATCCTATTACTGCAGGCACCCAGAGGCTTTGCTTACACTCTTCTGAACCGAGCACAGACCTGGACCTGAAGAGGCCAGCCCCAGTGACTCCTGGACACACTGATGACAGCTGGAAGTAACCAGAAAAGACCATGATGCCCCTCCACCTTTTATACTCCAGGGTTCAAAATGATGGAATCTGCTTTGTTCTCATACCTGCATGATTCTCCTCTCTCAGCCCAATTCTTTTTATGTATCCAAAGACCCTATATGAAGAACTTGCTTCTCCCCACTTGGCCCTATCATTTCATGTATCTAAAGATGGAATATGAAGGATTGACCCCAACCCTGCTGTCCCAGGCTCATACACAATACAGGCAAATCCCAGGTATGTGTGAACTCCTTTTAAGTGCAGGCAGGA